CATTCCCCCCTTCCCACCAACCCAAAACCCCCTAAACACAAACCACCGGCGGACAACTCTGAAACCCACACACCTCAGGCACACACCCCCCCGCCGTCCTCGTCCCATTCACAAGGACACGAAACCCCCCTTGCTCATCGATGAGTTGTCCGCATACCTGCGGGATGTTATCACGGATAGTCATCCGACATTTCTGGATGATGGCTGAGACGTTGAGGGGGAGGGAGAAGCAGGGGAGGGAGAGGGGTGTGGGGTTCTGGGTTTTTTTTTTTTGTGAGTTATTATACGGATAAGTCTTTGATGGGAGTTGTTTTTATGATGTGGGGGAGGAGGAGGGAGGGTTTTGACATTGATGTGGATGTGGAGTAGGGGTTAAGCGGAAAAGGAAATCAACAAAACTCACCTCACCACACAAAGACACCCCCGCCCTCGTACGACCCTTCACCCCGGCAGCTTTATGACACGTCCTCCCCGCCACCTTACACAGAGAGGAATCAGAGACGACCGCTTGGGGTTCCCGTGTGCTGTACTGCTCGGGCTTGAGGGATGTGAGGTCCGCTTCGTCGGCCCAGGTCCAGGCTTGTGTGTTGCCTCGGGGATCTTGACAGCATTTTATTGTGCGCTTTGCGTGTGTTAGTTTTGTAATTTTGGGGAAGGAGAAGGGGGATGGGAAGGAAGGGAACTTACGCCATCCCGGATTGAGAGATTGGGGAGTTCGTGGGGGGAAAGGGTGGGGCTTGCTGTGGCCTTAAGACGTATTGTTAGTATCCATACGAGAAGGATGAGAGGAAGGGTTTAGTTTGTTGTTAGACTGGCCGCTGGTGGGAAGTTAGAGTAGAGTACTTACAGCTGCAACAAGGAGTAGGAAGAGGAAGTTAAGAAGTAAAGTAATGGCCAGCATCATTCTTTCTTTCGAATCTCACGGACTTTATGTGAGTTCGTTCGTTTCCTTTCGTTTCGCGTTGGAATCTGAGAGTTGATAGAAGGAAGGTACAGACAGGTAGAGAGGTTCCAGCGTTTATGTGTATGTATGCTGTTGAAGTTGATGTTGATTTTATATAAGAAAGAGGACTTTCAAGATGCGAGAATCGATGGATATATATAACCCAGCTCATCTCCTATCCAATATCACTCAATCAGTGCCCAGAGCCCAGAGGTCAATGAATCATCTCTCCCAATAAGACCCGAGTTTGTGATTCATTTCTATTTGTCCCCGACAGAAATGTAATTTCGCCACAGAATGAAGGAACTAACCAAAACCCTCGATTCGATTTCTAGTTTGTGTCTCTTTCTGGTTTAAGATGAAAGAGAGAGTATTTCTATATTCATAGAGGTGATTAATAGGTAGGTAGTATTTTATTAACGAGTAATATGTAGTGTCTAGCGTAAATGAATAAAGCATGGCGGTTTGGGGGTGTGGAGTGAAAGAAGGGAATGTTGGGTTGGAGTTGGAGTTGGAGATCTGGACTAGGGGGGCGGTTATGGTAATTCATTGGGTAGAGGTAAAGGGTCGAGGAGAGGAATCTTAGGGATGAGTGTGATTCATATATTCCTCTTATAACAAGAAAGTGAATTTCCTCTTCCTAGCTACAGTATTTTGGGAGTCTGACAATCATACATCTACGTATATTAAGAGAAGAGAAGAATGGTTATTAGAAAGGTCGCTTGAAGGTTCTAGGACTTTCCGACTTCTGTATCTTAGTGTTGGTGTTGGAGTTGTGTTGTATTATATTTGTAGGTTGGAAGAGAAAGGGTCGAAGTTTTGTACTGTATTATGTACAGTAAGTCGAGCCCAATCTCAACCTTAACCTCAACCTCAACCTCAGGTCCTTCAAAGAAACCAAATACTTCAAACCTCAAATCCTCAAACTTCCTTTTTGGAAAAATCTCCTACCTACTATATAAATTTCTCAGATCATCCATCCCATAAACCCCTTCCCCCCCCCCCCCCCCTAGAGAAC